GAACGGCTAAGGCCGTGTTATGAACACACATGACTCAAATTTAACATGCTTATAACATGAATAACTTAAGGTAATAAAATTACCTCTTGCTGCTCGATACACTCCGCTAGGCTCGACTTACGTACGTAAACTACGATCCCTCATCGCGCGGATAACTAGTTGTGCGGTAGGAGCTCGTGTGCGGTCCGCGGTATTCAAAACTTGCTTGCGGTGGAACTCAAAAATCTTACTAACTCTTAATATATGTATATATGTATATATATATATATATATAGTACGCTGAAGAAGGAAAATATAGTGCTTAAGGTGACCAAATTTCTCAAACTCTCCACCTTTTTATACTAAACCGAAAGGGGCCAAATTATTTGGAATTGAGATAGCATAAATGTGGCCTTATTTTAGCTTGACAATTTCTAGTTAATTAGGTGGTTTAATGGTGACTAATCACCTCTTAAAATCTCAATGAATGACACGTGAGGTTGCTAAAGAATGAGGAATAGTTTCCTTGCCATGAAAGAGTTTAGCTACGGCTTGAAAATTAAAAGAACATTACATACGACATAATTATTTGTTAATTATGATTAATTACTAATTAATCATAATTAATTGCTTAATTATTTAATTAAGCATAATACTTAATTACCAAAATTATTCCGAACGTAAACGGTACGTCGAAAATAATTTCCGGTAATCTCGACTGTAATGACTGAAATATCTTAATTCAAAATAATAAATAATTTCGAATTCTTGACTTGGACGATTAATTCGAATATTAATATTTCGAATAATTCGTCAACTTAAATAATTAATTCCGAATTCATTAATTAATGAAACTAATCGGAATTAATTCTGGAAACTTATTCGGTTACTGAACTAACTAAACCGAATAACTTATCGACTAATAGTCGAACACAAAATATAACTGACTGATTAACCTGAACTGGAAAATGAACATGATTATTTATTAATAAAGGCTAGCTTAAAACTAAAAGCTAGTATTTTCTTTATTAATAAAATACAGGGCGTTACACGATGTGGACGATGAAGGTTAACTTCGAGGCCGTCGGAGGACTGTGAACTCAGTGAGCGGCATCGCGGGGCTCCTCTGGACATGGACTCCGGCGATGGATCGGTTGGAGAAGGGGCGACAATTTCGGAAGACAGAGTGGTTGGCGGTGGATGTCTGCACCTAGCGATTGTGGTCCTTGTGGAGGCGCGATGTTCCTTGAGATTGCGATGACTAAGGCGGCCCTTGCAGACGGCGGGGCGGCGAGACGAGTTGTGAACTGACGGGGAGCTATGTGTGTGTGAGTGTGTGTGAAAGACAGAGAAGACATGTGGGGTGGGGTGGGGTCTAGTGGGGTGGTGTATGAATAAATGTGATCTGATGTTGTGGGATTCATTATTGTGTGTAATTGTAAAATGTCCAATTTACCCTTAATATGTATAAATGCTTGGTTTTTTTTTTT